GAGGGGACACGCGATCAGCCCCCGAGCCGGACTGGCACCATCCGCGCTCCGGGCCTCGCGAGCGGGCTACGCGACTTAGATGGCGGCGGCTCCTTCGCCCCCGAAGCCCGGCCGCACCGGGGCCCGAGCTCGCCTCATACTCTCCTCAGACTACCCAGAACATCCAGAGACCAGCAACAGTCCCCTCCCTCGGCCCCTCCAACGGGAGGCGGAGGAGGAGGCGGAGGCGGAGGCTGCCGCGACTCCGCCCCCTCCGCGTTCTCACTACCCTCCCGGCCAAGCTTTCTCGCGAGATGACGACCATCCCGGGGACTGAGGCCGCTCGGCGCCAAAGCTACCCGCACCCTAGGGAACCGGGCTCAGGCCGTTGCAGCCACATCCTTCATTCTGTATGGGTAAACAGGAAGACAGAAACAGCAGCTGAGATCTGAAGTCTCTCGCTCACGAGTTTCATTCCAAAGGAAACAAGAGAGTTGTGCGCCGTCATCTTTAGTTGGGGCACGGAAGGCCCGAAAAGCCCATTTTAACTACGGGCCTCCTTAATCAAAATGAAAGGGTTCAGAGCAGGTGCAGCTTCACTTTCCCTCCTCCAACATGGCCCCGAACACGGGAAGGAGAAGTGGGAGGGTCGCTCTGGGCCCCGCCCACGCCGCGGGCAGGCCAATCACCGTAGCAGCTCCGCTTGCGCAGGCGCGCTGCCGCAAGACTTCAGACGGATCGCTGGTGCGATTCCTCTGGCCTCGGTTGCCATGCCTCCTCCTTGTTGGCTGCAGCAGGGCCGAGGGCCAGCCCGGGGCGGGCCGTCGCAGAGCCTCCGCCTCCTCGGCCTTCTCCGGGCCTCGGCCCGTGGGTGATTCGCGGGGGGGGCAGGCTGAGCGGCGGCGGGAAGAGCACCCTAGGGAAGAGAAGGACGCGAGGCCCTGAGGCGGGGGACAGTGACGAGCTCCCCTTCGTCGTCAGCCGGGAACCAGTACGCGGCCACCCACCCGCCCGCCGGGCCACGATCCCTAGTCCGCAGAGATGTCAGCTGCCGGCGTCCGGGGTCTGAGGGCCACCTACCACCGGGTCCTCGATAAAGTGGAGCTCATGTTGCCTGAGAAATTGAGGCCGCTCTACAACCACCCGGCAGGTAATGCACCGGAATGGCTCCCGCCGAGACCTTGCGTCGGAGGCCCGAGGACACCTCCGCCTCTGGAGGCGTCACCTACACCCCCGCCCTCCCTCTCCACTGAATGCGTCTGCTTTCCACCCTCCCTGCAGTTCCCTTTGCCTCGTCCACCATCTCTCACCAACCTTGACGACCTTTGTCGCACTCCATCCTTCGGGCGCGACTGAAACCCGGTCCGGGCTTCTGGGCTTGATCCTGCCGCATTTCCGAGGCCCCGAGGGGTCGGGCCGCCAGAACACCCCATCTCCCCGCCTTCCCTCCCGAGCGTTTGTCGCCCCGGGCGGTTTGGGGGAAAGGTCACGCCGCCTTCAGGTCCAGCCGGCAGAGCCCGGCTTCAGAGTCATTGTCATGCCTCGCCCCTTGGGTCTAGCTTGTCTAAGTCTGTCCTTTGTGAAATTCCTGAGCGAGCTCCCCCTGCACCGTTTTGCGTGGACACACCTGGATTTCATCCCGCTGTGCCCCTTCCTGCAGGTGTGACCTTGGGCGAAACCCTAGATCTCTCCGTTTTTGTAAAATGGTCAAGGTTAAATATAACATACAGGTTTGATTGTTCGTTCATGCTCAGTAAATGCTTGCGCTCTCTCTTGTCCTGTTGGAACACAGTGTTCTGTGGTTGAAAAAATGTATTTCTGTACGAAACTGGAAGATCCCAGTCCCTCCCACTCTATTTATGATCTGGAATTCTCTATAAAATGGGCAGTAATAATACTTAGTTCGCTGGGAACGAAAGCAGACCTCTTTCATGCCTTAGAGTTTGCAGACGGGAAAAATCTGCTAGTTGAAATACTGAAGTGCAACCTTTACTAAAAGGGACCCTTTTAGCTAACTCTTCTCTGCACTTGGCCTCATTAGGAGAATTCACTATTCCTCCCCAGAAAAGGGCTCTCTGGAGTCTGAGCTGGTTATCACTAAATCTGATTTCGTTTGATAGTGGAATGAACTGTATTTGGGGATTATACTTGAGTATGATGGTATTTATTGCAGTATGTATTGTACCCATTATAAAATTGATCTTTAAGGAGAGGTTTTTATTGCCGAAGAAGTTTATCTAGTTTGCCTTTTAGTTTCTTCCAGTATGCAAATGTTTGGAATTCTGCTGTGTTTCATGGCAAAGATGTCAGGAGAGAGGTTGGGCAATGCTTCTGTAATAGTCTGGGCTTTAGTCTCGACTGAACTCTGTAGTGTCAATTCTGACCCTCTTCAGCTTTGTGTGTGGGCTGTAGGACAAGGACGGGGTAGAGGAGGAGCAATTTTAAACTATTTTAATATCAGCGTAGTTTTATAGTGATCTTTTCCAAGGCCTTGGCTTTAACCACCCACCATCCTTGCTTGTAATACTTTATTCAACTCTCAGAATGAAGAGGAGTTACCTTTTATTTGTAGATTGTGCATTTCATCTGGATATTCCTGAATTAGATGAGTTATTGTCATCCCTTGTCTGTACAGTGGAAGGAGCATAGGCTTTGAAGCCAGACACACTAGGTTTGAATCTTGACTGTGTGACCTTGGCCTTAGAACCCCCAGGCCTTAGCTTCCTAATCTATAAAATTAGGAAAATAATTATCACCATTTAAGGATTGTTATGAAAATTAAATGACAAAGTATGTAAAACATGTAGCAGAGTGTTTGCACTTACTCTCAAGGAATGTTCATTCTCTCCCATCTAAGCTTTTAGCCAATAGGCAGAGAAAGAATCTATCACTGCAAAATGAATTGTGATTAGAAAGTTGTAGGCACACCAATGTAAAACTAGAGAAGCATGAAAAATGTAACTGTTGATGCATTAGTAATGAATAAAATCTGAGGAAATACTGATTATGTTCCAAGAGTTATTAGACTGAATCCTCAAGCTTTTGCATACTATTTTGCAGAATAGTGTGTTATTGAATCATCCCCATTTAAATATTAGGCTGGATTCGCATACTGGAGGTTTTTACAAATCTGTGCAAAGCTAGGACCTTAATAGTTGGATAGCATACATTATTGATTCTAAATTTTTGAAATTTAATTTTATCAGTGACAAGTCATGTTCTTACTGTAAAATCAGAATAGCTTCAGCACAAATAAAAATAAGTACTTTTGGGCAGTCAATATTTGTGTCACAGAGTAACCTTTACAAAATCTAAGGATAAAGGACTAAAGAACATTGAGGGATGTCAAAGAGTAAACCGTAGAGAAATAGTATGAGGGGTAGGAAGAGGTAACGGAAAGCATTCAGTTAGAAACTTTACTTTTGGGACGGAGTGAACTCTTCAGCGCAGTATTTGTGTTTATGTATGTCTGCCTGTTTATAAAGTCACTTACTCCGTTCCAAGAAGAAAGTCTTTTCTTAGGGAGAGAATTATACATACAATAAATGACACAGTTTCTGGGTAGAATTTATGTATTTCATTAACAGTAATTCCTCTCAGATAAGGAAATTAGGAGGTAAATTTATGTCATTTTATCAACAGGTTCATCAAAGTTCATCAAGGCAACTAGATTGGTGAATTTGTTTGAAAATGTTTATCTGTTACAGATTTGGTTATGATATTCCCTTGCAGAATTTCTCACATTCTTCTATGAAAGTTTGAACTTTAAAAATCAGTTTCAGTTTCAAAATAAGACGAACCTATAACGACACAAAAGATAATGACCATTACATTTTTTTTCTGTATTTCCTGTTATGCTTGAGAATGGTTTATAGCTTTAAATATACATATACATATTTTTTGAATACTTGTTCGATATTTTCAGACTGTCAGCATTTGAGGCCTTTTTCAGCTTCTAGGAGTGGACTTCTAGGAAACAAGATGAAAATTGTTAATTGTTAGTTAATTCTTTGCCTGAAAGAATGTGCTTTTATATCTGATGGGGATACATTTCCCTCATTTTGGACTCCAAATTAAATTTCTTATGAGACAATTTTTATTTAATATATTTCAGCAGTTCAGATTTTCTACCCAGTCGAGTTTTTTCATGCCTCATAATGAATGTTAGTTAGGTACCCTGCTAGTTTATACTTCCACTTATCTTGATTTTAAGGTATTGTAATCACTTCAGGCATCATAGTAATTTGTCTCATTTTTTTTAATGAATTGTTGTGTTTTAATGAACAGCTGTGAGAACAGCTATGTTATTATGTAGAACATAAACCTGGTTTTTCCAGGTCTAGAATGACACATGTGACACTGTGTTGTTACTGTTTGAGCATGTCTGTTGAAACTTTGCTTTAGAAATTCCAAGTAAGATGGAATATTTTATCATTACCATGACCACTATTGGTTGATTGCTTTTTTCAGGAAGATAGCCTCTGAACCTGAATTCTAACATGTTTAAATTTATTTGGCTTATTTACTCTTAAAGTAGAAAATGATTAGCTAAGATAAATTGGAAGGGTGAGCTAAAATTAGTTTTCTTTGAAATTTTTGTTGACCCATTGTATGATCACAGGTAGCACTAGCCTTTTCCCCCTTTTTTTAAACAATGAAGAAAACACTGATTTGCATTTATAGAAACACTGATTATTTTTGTCATTTGTCAGCCTCATATTTCAGGAAAATTCAGAATTTGGAATGTAATATATATATTTGCTACTGATATTTTTAAATTCAGTACTTAGCAGTTGTTAAACTAATGTGGAGTTTGCTTTGTACTTTAAAATCATTCGCTGAAATATTCATACCTCTCCTAGTCCAGCTCTAGCAACCATAGTTATTTATTTATTTATTTATTTATTTATTTTATTATTATTTTTTTTTTAGAGAGAGAGATCTATTTGTTGTCCCACTTTTTTATGCATTTATTGATTGGTTCTTACATGTACCCTGACTGGGGATCGAACCCACAACTTTGGCATGTGGGGACGGCCCTCTAGCCAACTGAGCTACCCAGCCAGGGCCACCATAGTCATTTTTGAAGCTTTTGTTTGGTTTGGTTGGCAAGACAGAGGCAGTTAGTTAATATTTTAAGACTATCACCTAGCTCAGGGCACTTGTTAATAAGTGCAAAACAGACAAACCTGCTGAACAGCCTGCCTGTTCATTAACCCTGAAGTGTCAACGACTTAAGCTAGTAAAGAAACCAGAATCTAGAGGCATTGCTTAGGAAACAGGCATCAGTTTTGAAACAGGAAGCAAGGAGTCTGTTGGAAAGCTGAAAGCCAGAGAGTAACACATGCTGGATTACCCTTAGCGACGAAGCCAAGCTTCGTGCAGGGATGAAAAATGAATTTAGTAATTCATCCTGCCTGTGTTCAGAGACTGTATATGACAAAGAAAAATGAACCAGGTGTGATGATAGGAATCCCAGAAGCTCAAGCTAAGTAGAATAACCAGAGTTGACAAGATTGACTTACGGGATCAGTGCGTCACACCTCAGACTTGTGGGGACAATTTTCAGGACACAAAGAGGGCAGTGGCATGGTCTGAGAGAAGAGTGGTAAGTGTAAGGCTAATGCAGCCCTGATATAAAGGGATCCTAATGTCCCTGAAGATGAGTGAATATCAGACTCTAGCCTTGGGTATGAAACAGCATCAAGGCAGATCTGTCATTTCCCCAACCTGAAGTTATCTATGTGTGAGCTAACATTAAGTTCCATGTTCAAGGCAAAGCACAGGGAATTATTTCCAAAACCATCTCTGTTATACTATAGCTAATTTTGTTAACAGATCACAAAAATACAAATAATTGACTGGGAGAGCAAAGCAACTTGTATGAAAGATTGATATTATGGCGACTTCTAAAGGTCAGCTTATTACAGAGTATGCAGAAAACAGAAAAATGATTAGAAGTACAGTGATAAATCTTTTAAGTTTTTAAAATGTGGTGATGGCTGTTAAAAGATGTATAAAATTGGTTTATTCCTAAATTTTCCTTTTCTTTTTTTTTCAGGTCCCAGAACAGTTTTTTTCTGGGCTCCAATTATGAAATGGGTAAGTCTTGAGTTTTTACAGAAGCTACTGAAAAAAATTCTCCTATAGGAACTTGCTCATTTGATATAACTTTTATGAAGGATGTACTTTTAAATATTCATGGTATGCCTCTAAATGATGTCAGGCAAAGATTCTCAGATGTATAGTTTTTGGGGGTTTTTAAACTCCGTTGATTAGGCGGCCTAGGAACATATTTGTTATCAAAACACAATTGTGAGCCCTAAGAACATGAAACTTGATTCTAAAATTTTATGACTAAGTAAAACATTAAACTAGTTAGAACCCTCCTCCCCAAATTAACTGAAGATAGACCAAAGCAGAGGCAAGGAAGGTTAGCCTCAAAAAGTAGTGGGATTTATCCAAGGATGTATGTTAACATTTGGTGATAGAATCTAGTACTTCTGACTCCAAATGCTGCTGTCAGGAATGGTGGACAAGTGTCTATTCTAGTCCTTGCTTTCAGCTCTTTTGGGTTATACTAGAAGTGGATTTGTTGGATCATATGGTAATTCTATATTTAATATTTTGAGGAACTACCGTTTTTTACATCTTTAGCTATAAAATGACAAGATTAGATGAGTGGTTGAAAGCTGTATTTTAGAGAGAACTAGAGAGCAGCTCTTTTTTATATTTATATATGGAGAAAAGGTCCCATCAATTTTTTTTAAAAGTTTAAATATATCGCCTTTGATGATTATGCTTACACTCTAAGCATTCAAATATAGTGTGAAATGCCAAAAAAACAAACAAAAACCCCCAAAAAACCATACTAATGGAAGGTACATTATTTCCTTCCTCCTCTCTCCCTACCACACTTAAAATTATATAATAATTATATATCTATGAAGTGGAATTGATTACTGAAGTACCGCTTCTACCACCATTATTACAAGAATAAGAATGACTTAATCTACTTACCATAAATTTTGTGTACTCTTTGACCTCAAATTTACCACAATTTGGTACTTTATTGATTTTATTAATAGCTTTTGTGTTTCTTTGACCTGGTCCACCAGTATTTTGAAACATTGACAGTATCAGATACTCATAAGTGCCTTCCTGTCTCCTTTAAAAACATCTATTTTAAGTTCATGTTGAAATCAACATAGCCTCCTGGTGACTGCGTAGCAAAGAAACTTCTGTGTCTTGTTCGCTGATGGGGAGACTTCTTTTGCTAGGTGTTTACTTTATGTGCAATGTGTGTTCTCCTAGAGCATTTGGTAATTAATCTGTGAGAGTCTGTACCTGACATAAAAATTGCTGCTGCCAGCCATATGTGTTCTATGTGAAGAATTTCAGACTTTACCTCTTCAGACATTTAACTGTGGTGGAGTCCTTAGCCATTTTAATTGAAACCAAAGAATTAATCATAAAGATTATACCTTAAATATTTTATTTTAACTTAAAGAATATAAATATGTGTTTGTTTGCCAATCATCTACTATAAGGCCAAAGCTTTATTTGTGTGTGGATCCACTGATTTTGAGTTCCATATCTATGTTGGGTGAATTATACCATAGTGCATCTCATGTAATTTCCAGTTTAGTTTTCTTTAAAGCAGAGCAAGTTCATGGACACTTTCATAATAGTGTGACAACAGAAGCCTGCTAGATTTGTATGGCTTTCCCTCAAAATTTTTTTATGTCTGTCTTATTGACGCCAAATTTGACAGTAAGTTTTAACAACTTGCTTTAACTCAGTCTTTTCAAAACAGTCGCTTGAGTTTTCATAGAAAAAACAACTCTCTTTGTATTTCACCTCTTTACCCTATAGACCATTAAATTATGTAATGAGTAAAACTGGCATAAATAGGTTTGAGGACAAACACAGTGACTTGATAAGAATACAATTCAACGGGAGGAACCAAAAATGCATGCATGTGAAATATAGGATAAACAGCCCACTAGCCTTGAGTATTCATCATGCATGGGCATCTGTTGGCCCTTAACAGGAGGAGTGGAGATCATTGACCAGGCTGGGAAAATTATTATGTGAAGGTCAGTTCAGAGAGTGTCTTTATTTTTGTTCAAAATCTTTTTGTATGGACTGAGCTATACTTAGCTGTTGAACAGTATGCCACTTGGTGTAGCTAATTTTTCTATGTTCTCTTCCCCTTATGAATAAATCAGATTTTCAGATAACCCATACATATTTTAATTTTAATTTAATTTTATTTTTAGAGAGTGGAAGGTAGGGTGGGGAGAAACATCAATGTGAGAGAGACACATCGATTGGTTGCCTCCCACAAACGCCCCAACCCTGCGACTGTGGTACATGCCCTTGGTCAGAGTCGAACCCGGAACCCGCTAGTCCATGGGCTGGCACTCTAACCACTGAGCAAAACTGGCCAGGGCAACCCATACATATTTTTAATACCTGTCTATTTGTTCTTTCAGCAGGAACTACTTCTGTAGATTGATTCAATTTAAAATCTTGAGGGCTATGCTATTGTGAGCATTTTGGAATTGGAATATTCTATAGTGGTATTTCATTTTTTAAACATTCCTCTAAAAGTATCATATGACTTTTTTTAATAAATGAAAAAATATTGAAAAAAAGGAAGGAAGGAGAGAGAAGGAAGGAAGGTTGATTGACTTATACTATCGATGAGTATCCCACCCAGTAGAGATAATCAGATGCAAGAATTGTGAAGCTGGGCTTTAGACATTTGAAAACCATTTTAAAATTTGTTTACTGATGCCAAACCTTCTACAATAGGATTTTAAAATACGTTATCTCATATTTAATCATCACCAAAAAATATCAGAGAAATAAGTAGTATCAGCATTTTTCAGGTAAGGGTACTGAGGATCAGAGAACTAGCTGAGAATGTTGTTGTATGGACTGGGTTATCTTTAACTCATTAGAGTCAGGATTTGAACCTCCAGGTCTGTTTGACTCCAAAGTCTATGCTCTTAAACACTAACAGGACTGCCTTTACTGTGGATCTATCTATGGTCAGGGAGTATTTTGTATAATCTTGTGGCATACTCTGAGCACTCTCTGAATGTACAGTTCTATTTTCTGAATGAATGAAGTTCAGAATAAAGATGAAAAGGAAAACGGACCATCTGCCGTTGATCCTTAGACTAGTAATGCAGGAAAGGCTATGGAAACTAATATTCCTTTATCTCTGCTGCTCTAAAGATGTAAGCTGCTATTGTTTTTGTTAATATTTTTCAAGCACTGTGCTAAATACTTTTCTTTTTTTAATCCTCACCTGAGGATATTTTTTCAGTTGCTTTTCAGAGAGAGTGGAAAGATAGGGGGAGGGGAGAGAGAGAGAGAGAGAC